CTCAGGTACATCCTACCTCTCTAGTAGACCCGAAAGACCCCACCAACCTGTCCAAGTTCCTGGCTCCGGAGTCCATGCGCGGGTCCGGCGGCATCCTGGTGGACGCCGAAGGGAAGCGTTTCGCCAACGAACTCACAACTCGCTCAGTCCTAACCGATGCCATCTTTGAGGCTGGGAAACCAATGCCCGGGGCTAAGCCAGAGGGGGGAGGGGAGCCGGAGGGAATTGCCCCCACGGTGGCGTACCTTCTCCTGAACGAGGAAGCCGCGGGCGCGTTTGGCACAGGCGTCCTGGGTTTCTACATGAGTGAGTACGAGGGAGGCGTTAGCACACGGAGACGTTGGTACAAGTAGGGGGCCTGTGGTAATCTTGTCACTGCGGAGGAAGCACGATCGAGCCAGAGATGGCTGACCTTAGTGTAAGCCGTCGGGTTTGGGGAACAACCAAACCTTGCTCAACATCCGCCGCCCGTCCGTATCAAGCAGTGCCACCGCAATGGCCGTCAGGGGCCACCGCAAATTCCGTCAGCCAAGTGAGAACACCCACAGGGAGAACTCAACACACCGCCTATCCGTACCTACCCTATCATATATTGTACCCCCAACGATGTCAACACTTTGGCGAATTTCTCTCGCCCCGGGGCAGGCAAGGGGCTCGTGCGGCGCGCAAGCGGTGCCGTAGAAGCCTCGGAGATGATGGGGCACTCCGACGGCGGGAAGGCGCTGAAGGAAACCCTGGAGGCCTACACTGCCGCAGCGAGCGGGGAGCGGACGGACGACTTCGGCAAGACCGTCTTCCCGGCGAAAACCTTTTCCGCTGACGAAACCCTCTGTGAGTCAGACTCGAGTTTTCGAATCGAGCGCTCTGGTAGATACGGTGCCAAACAAGAGAGTGCTCGGGGTTGTTGTTGTTGTTGCTGCGGGGCTTTGAGAAGCCTCGTGCTTGGCGGTCTCCGGGTACATGCCGATGAGCGCGTATGATACGATCGACGTTGGTGCAGTGCCGTACCACGGATATTCGTTTTGTTTTTTTCTTTGTTTTTTGTGCTGCTGGGTCGCTGCCCTTACCCTACCCTTACCCCCGCATACTGGCAAATGTTAGACTAAATAGGAAATTTTGTCGGTCCTTCAACCCGATCCATGCTCTGATTGAAATCCCTGGAGGTGTCAATAGACGTAGAGACGGCCACGGCTGGATCACGGGTATCATTCCAGCGCCCTCCAACTCTCTCCCCTTCATCCCTTCCCCCGTCGTACGCCTTGTAATGTCGCGCCTGACAGACATTGCGATCATAACACCAGCAATCCACTACACCATGGGGGGTGTGCGCATCGACGGCGAAGGTCGCGCCCTCGGGGAACTCGCAGGGGACGGGGGAGTCGCATCCCCGATCCCCGGTCTTTTCGCTGCCGGGGAAGTCACAGGGGGGGTCCACGGCGCCAATCGCCTGGCAGGGAATTCTCTCCTTGAATGCGTGGTGATTGGCCGGCTCGCTGGCCAGCATGCGGGGAGGGAGGCAGTAGCATCGGTATCCGAAGGTAGCGACAGCGGGGAAGACAGCGCGGAGAAAAATAAGGACGGGAACGAGGTGTGTAGGTAATGTGGACGAAGCGGAGGTGGCCAAGCGAGAGGCTCGATTGTGAGAGGGGGCTGTGAAGAGACTTGTCCTCGGGCAACGAACGGCACAGAAAGTGGGGTATGTTCGTGTACTTGAAGGGGAATACCCTCTAGTCTGTTTGTATGCGAGAATGGATCTGCAATGTGTGAGGCATTGCGTTGGCCGTTGAACATGCGCCTCACGCTGTCGATACAACAGTGCCGTGAAACGAGCGAGACGTATGCGATAGCGTTTGGTTGTTGGATTCTCGGAAAACGAGCTACTGAGAGCAAACAACGTGGTCGACAACCAACTACTGTGCAAGCTTCGTTTCGCCTATTGGGCATGGAGATGATGGCTTGGCGGATTCGTTCGTTCGGCGGATGGGGGATGTAACTCGAGAATGGTGCGACTCAACCGCATGTTGCTTGCATTTCATGTCATGTACATATCCACGGTGGTGATGGTCGTACCCCACCGAATTCGCTGACTCGGGTTTGGTCACACGTCAGTTTGCATGACATCTCCGGTACACGTGATGCCCACGGCTCTACGCCGTGTCTCAAGACGCCAACTAACTACCGCCTGCTCCTGCGGGCTGAAAGGAATGTGGGCGTTTTTTACCAAGTGCCTGTGGTCTGGTGATTAGCCTCCCGGATGTCGAAGGTATTTGATCAAAAGCATCCCTAGGGCCTACTGGTGATTTCCAACGAGCGATCAGGACGGTTTGACACCAACCACTGGTCTGGTCTGCTCCAACTTCCAACTGTGTCCTTACCTGCTGTACGACGTGTAGGTACACACGTCGCGCATACACAACACGCATCTACTTGCATGCACATCCAGCCCGACCTACATACAGAAGGCATACGATTCGGTGGACCGAGACCTACTGTGGGATGTGCTCCGACGCTTCGGCGTGCCCCCGAAGATGCTGGCGGTTATTCGCTACTTCCACGAGGGCATGAAGGCGCGCGTCCGAACGGACGATGGGCAGTGACCGGAATGTCGGATGCAACCTGGCCCCGCTGCTGTTCAACTTGTTCTTTGCCGCGATGCTCATGGTCGCCTTGGCCGAGTTCGACAAGGACCCCAAGGTGACGGCGGACATGGTCAAGATCGGGACACGACTGGAGTACACGTGCAAGAAGGGCAGGTCGGCGGGGAAAAAGGCGACGGTAGTGGAGGACGTGGAGGCCCTGTGGGCCATGCTCTAGACTACGCTGACGACGCGGCCATCATCTCGCGCTCGCCGGAGAGTCTCGAGAAGATGATGTCGGTCATCGTGCGCGTGGCCGGCCTGTTCGGAATGATGGTATCGGAGCCAAAGACGATCGTGTGCATGCTCCCAAAAGGGATCGAGGAACGCCCGTTCACGGTCAGCGCCGCCGGCCAGACGCACAAGCAGACAGATCGGTTTGTGTACCTCGGACGTACCATCTCCGCGGACGGGAAGGCCGACCGGGAGATCACGAACCGCAGCTGCCGAGCGTGGGAGTGCTACCGCAGGAACAGTGCTTCGATGTACGACAGGCGACGGGCCGACCGCCAGCTCANCCGGGAGATCACGAGCCGCAGCTAGCTGCCGAGCGTGGAAGTGCTACCATCGGAACAGTGCTACGATGTACGACAGGCGACGGGCCGACCGCCAGCTACAGACTCTCCTATATGGGTGCGCCTCGTGGAGCCTAACAGCGGAGCACTACACGAAGCTCAATGGGACCCACCGCCAGTTCCTCACAGGGTGCATCGGCTAGAGCAAGCGGAAACGCTCAGACCACCCCCTGTCCTACGCCCAGGCCCTCATCCAGGCCGGCTGCGAGGAAACCGTCGAGGCCACCGTGCGCAAACGAAGACTGTGTTTCGCGGGCTTTGTTATGAGCATGGATGACAACCGCCGCCCCAAGAGGGTGCTGTCAGGAGCGATGGCGGGGGGCGTGGGATACCGGGGCGGACAGGAGAGCGACCGGGTGTCTCGTCTAGGAGAGGACCTCGTGGCCTTCAACATGGGAGACGAAAAGGAAGGGGGGAAATGGAAAGAGAGTGCCAAGGACCCGGAGGTGTGGTACAACAAGGTCGAGGACGGGGCGACATGGTTCATGAGGAAATGGCACGGGCAGGAGGCGGAAGCGTACGCGAAGCGCCAGCGCGCGAGGGAATTCCGGCTGAGAGTACGGTCATCTCAGGACCGAAGAGAAAGAGAGTCGGGGAAGCGGCGGTGGGGGGGAAGAAACGGCGACCGGGCACTGCTGTAGAAGCGAGTAGGGCGGCCGAGACAGCACTTGTGGCGAACAATGTGCCCGGCTGATGTTGTTGCGCCCTGTTTCCCTCCCTGCTGTATGCTATACTCCTTTATGAATGTCCTTTGTATTGCCTTCGGCCTCTGTGCTGTGTTTCTTTTTTCTCATCATGCCCTCCCTGCCTATACTCTGCCGTGTTGGGTACCTTGATCTCCCTTTTAGACTACTGTTGCTTTTGTTTTTGTACATCTGGCTGTCTGCACATCTGCCGCCTCTTTGTTCTGTTGGCCCCGTTGCTGCCATGCCCTGGGCGTAATGCCTGGTGCTGGTACGTTACCCTTTGATTTTTTAGGCGGGTGTGGGAAGCATCCTCCTTTATTTTTGTTTTTGTTTTTATTTTGATCGGTTTCCGAGGGCTCTTTTCTCGAACGGTCGGTGAGGTACCTGTTCCTTTCTTTCTATCATTTTGTTTTCCTTATCCGAGTGATTTGTACCCTATTTTTGTTTTTGCTACCCCGCGGCGTCGTATGTGCCGGGTTTTGAGACCACGGGCTCCTCATTTTTCGTGGACTAAAGAGCTAATGCGAGAAACAACAGTACATAATAGTATAATAGTTCAATCCTGGTCTCCGTTGGAAGCGATGCGCTGCAAAGCGCGTTGCTAGCAAACTTGATCGACTTCATAAGTCGCCAGGGAAGGGATTGCTGCACCCTTTTCGTGATAAAAATATCTCAGGCAGGAACCGCAGGAGGGGGTCCAACCCCCCCCTCCTGTGTGACCCCGGTTGGGTTGTCTACCCAGTAGAAGTGGAGGATAGTGGCCAGAGGGGAAGTCGACAGGATCCAATGATGAGAGACGCAAAAAAAAAAAGTCTGCACCCCCAAATTACATAGCTGTCGACCATTTGGTGTACTCGGTCGTGGCACCGATCTACCCATACTACACTGCAATAGATGTGCCCGACAATACACGAAGCACCACAACGTGCACGCAGGATGAGGATCTATCTCCTTAGGTCATCCACATCCATCATCCATCAGAACATCCACAGTTCGTTTTTTGGGACACGGCAGACAACTCGTAAGCATACCTCTCTCATCGGTACGTTCGCTGGCGCGGGGCCCCCTTGCCTACGTGCCCAACCCACACAGCACAGCAAAGCCTCATCGCCTTGTCTGCACATCACGATCCCTGTCCGTTTGCATCTTCTAGCAGAATTATCGCTCAACACGTGGCTGTACGTTCCGTTCCGGGAGCGATAGAGCACATCCTTTCCTGTGGCGACTGATCCAGCTACTGCTGCTTCTGCATAGAATTTTTGATCTGTCCCAGAAGGAATATTGAATATTGTGTCAACATCTGGCGGAACGTATACGTATCAGATCCTTCATACCTCATCACAGCGGTAGCAGGGCTTGCCGCGAGTGCATCAGACCTGCGCCTGCTGGGGCAAGCGGTCCAGTGGCCAAAGATGGAAGACATATTCGGGCCGGAACCGACAGCAGACATCCCTGCTGAGGCCGCCGCTTCGGAGACGAACAAAAACCTCGAAGAATTTGATGACATCTTCGGCGATGGAAGTACAGCGGCACCAGCGGCAGGCGAGGGAGCAGGCGGTTCAAGCTCGGAGCAGGCCAAGGACGCGCCCGCAGTGCCCGCAGCAGCGTCAGGTGGGAGTGGTCTGGACGAGTTCGACGATATTTTCGGGGACTCCGAGCCTGTCGAAGCCGCTAATGCGGGGGAAACGGAGGACGTAGCCGCAGGCGGCGCTCCCTCAGCAACAGGGGAGGATTCGACTCCAGCAGTAGCAGCAGCAGCAGGTCCTGGCGCTGCTGCTGCTGCTACTGATGCCACGGGTGAGGCAAGGGGAGCCGGGGGAGACAAAGAGTTCTTGGACTTTTTGTATGACGGCGATGATGCGGGCTCAGGAGAAGCGGCATCGGAACCCCCACCGGCAACGGCGAAATCACCGGCAACGGCGATGTTGGGCTCAGCAGGTTCGCCGCCGTTTGGCCGCAAGAGCCCGGACTCTAACTCTACGCTAGGCGAGGAAGGCTCGTTCCTGGAGATCCCTCCTACTATCACGAGTCCGTTCCAAGCGCTAGAAGAAGTAGCGGGACCAGACTCCCGGCCGGCATCGGGCCCGTTGGAGGGTTCTCCGCTCAATCTGCCTATTGCGGAGGAATCGACGGCTACAGCAACAGCGGCGAGCGAGCCAAAACCGAGCTCCCCGGTCCCTACGGCTACGTTGGAAACCTACGTGCGCAAGGAAAGAGCGGAGGTGTTGCGACCCTTGCCGGACGACCCGGCCGCCGCCCTGCGCGAGGTTGCATCACCCGGGGTTCCACCTACCGGCGACGGCGGAGATTCTCAGGAGGAAGGAACGGCAGCAGCAGACGACGTGGGCTACGTGCGGCGGCTGTGTGCCGCAACGGGAGGGTTCCTCCCGCCCGACCTTCGGCCCGTGGTGTGGGGTCTTCTCCTGGGCCGTGGCCGGAAGCCGTCTGACGCGGGTTTCCTGAAGTGGCGGGCGCGGAGGCGGGAAGCGCTTGCGGCGGGAGCCGCCGACGCCCCCGCCGTTTCCTACAAGCTGGACCTGCGGAACGATTGCCTCGCGCTCGCGCGGCGGCTGTGCGATGATGACAACGTCGCCGGGGAGAACGATGGTGGCGGGGCTGGCAATGGTGCTAGCTGCGAGGGGGGGGGTGCGAAGAAAGACCCGGAAGCTCTGGCGTTCGATATTGAAGAGGTATGTTTGTGCGCGTGACGTGGGTTCCTGGCGTTTTGGAGGTGTGTTCGGCTCCTGTACACAGGCTAGAGGAGTTCTTGGGATGGCATGCGATGCCATGTGCGATGTTGCAGTTCTTGTGTGTTTTTTGGCACGGTACGACTGCAAGTGCTCCGCTCTCGTGCTGGGGGGAATGTATCCCCAAGAGCCGAGCGCAAGGAATGAAATATCCGCGTGATTTCGGCGGATGGAGGCATGACTCCAGGGAGCTTGAAGGCAGCAGACGTTCATCAGTCAATTCGCAGCCATACAGTGTCTAGGTACACCTTTTGATTTTCAACCACCCCCCTCCCCCCTCTGAGGTCAATGGTCTAGCCACTACGACATGCACGGCTCTGAGTGCCCCCCACCCACCCACCCACCCCGTTCCTTGCCAGGTCCTGACTTTCTACTGCACGCGCAGATCTGAAGCCTACGAGCCCGTTCTGTGTGCCCTCGTCGGTCCGCTCTTCTCGATGGGCCTTGACGCCCCCGCCGTGTCGACGATGCTGAACCCTCTCGTCGGCTCCGTCACGCTCTTCTTGGGGAGGGGGCTGACACACGCGGTGCGGGACTTGGCGTGGGCGCACGCCCACCGGCGTCTGCACGACCTGTGCACGTACCACGACCCGGAGCTGGTGCAGCACCTCAACAGGTGTGGAGTTTGGTTCGAGGAGGTTGGGAGAATACGGCCGTTACTTTTGCTCTATTATACCACGGTCGTCGAACATACCAGAAGAATGTTGTGCTCTGTATCCTCGAGATGAGGATGGAGCAAGAAGTTCTCAATGGAATTGCTACAAGTTGCCTTTGCATTGTCAACGCACCGTACGTAGAGCCAGCGCGCAAGCCCATCGTAGACAGGCTTTCCCTCGCATCAAGCGGCGACAACCACACACAGTAGTCACTCCTTTTATGTGCATCCGTTGACCGCCAAAAACGTCACACCGATCGCCGCGATATCAAGGTCTTTCCCAGGTTGGGAGATGCCTCTCCCTGGGGCCAGCGCATCGCACGCGGAGACAAGCGCTCTCGACCAAGAAGCTTCAGCAATGGTCGACGACCTCGAGTCCTCCCTGGAAGGCTTTGCCCCCAGGCGACGCTCCATGAAGGCCGGCTCGGCGGCGCAGGCGGAAGCGGTCGGCGGTGCGGCGGCGGGGGGGCCGGCGGCGGCGGCGGCGGCGGCCGGGCGGCCGGCCCGAGCGGCCGGGAAGGGCTTGGTGGAGCCGTCGCTGCTGGTGGCGGCGAACGCGGCGCTCGGGGCGTCGGCGCCCTTGGGGCGGCTCCTGCCGCTGTGGGACTACCTGCTCGTGCGGCACGACAAACACTTCGGGTATGAGAGGGACAGAGAGAGAGAGAGAGAGAGAGAGAGAGAGAGAGAGAGAGAGAGAGAGAGAGAGAGAGAGAG